GAGAATAGGTGAAGCAAGCGGATGATAATTACAACAGATCTCAAAGACTGAACCAGTGGATGAAGAGCGCTATGGACATGCTACAGAAGGCGCCGCTCGAAATTATAACAGAGTCAGTGGCATTCCATTGTAGTTTCATGAGTGGACTCTACATGTCTCATTCCCACTGTACTGCGGAGGAAAGTCATGAAATCAAGTGTGTGGGTCACTTCTTGGCAAGTTGAAGTCCACTGTCAACAAATTCACGCCATTGTCACTTTCTTCTACTCTGATTGTCTTTCACCCACAACCAGTTCTTGTAAAGCCAAATGGTGATAAGGAATGGATGATGGGAGCAAGTTTTGGTGAAATAGGAAGATTCTAATCCTGAACTTGCAAATTGGCAAGGGATGTAGTTATCAACACCATCATAAAGGAAGTAATCAGCAAAAAAGAAATTAAATTGTTGGATATAAATTAAAACTGATGATGATGATAGATATATATATATATATATATATATATATATATATATATATATATATATATATTAATTTCTTGATGTTATATATATTGTGTATCTAGGCAACAACCACTCATTTATACATGTTTCATTAAAATTTTTTATTCTTTTTATTTTTCTTAAAAAAAAAAAAAAAAGAAATTAAATTGTTGGATATGAGATAAAGTTGACGACAAGAACAGTCATGGGCAAACTGCGGCCCACAGGCCAGATGCAGCCCAAACAGCTTTCTGAATGACATGTCTAACTTCTTTAGGAAAATAACATTTATTAAAATGGTGTTTGTTTCTTTTCTTGTTCACTCTTGTACATAACATGTTTACACAAGTTTTTTTGTTCCCTCCTCTTTTTTTATATGTGCCCTATCCCTTCAGGACGTGGGTGATAATGGCTCTCCACTATTTCCTGTCCTTTGTAGCCCTTAGTAAATGTTGTTTTCTCTATCTCCTCTTATCCCTGTTCTACCAACCATTTACATAAGCTTGTTTTTCTTCTTCTGTGGGCCATATCTGTTCAGGACGTGGGTGATCATGGCTCTCCACCATTTCCTAAACTTTGTAGCTCATGGTAAAGTTTGTTTTTTTGCTATCTCTTCTAATTCCTGTTCTGCCAACCATTTACACAAGTTTGTTTGTTCTTTTCCTTCTATATACCTACTCCCTTCAGAGTCCTGGGTATGACGACAAACTGCATCTGCTACTAATCCTGGGTATATTCAAATTATTTAAACTGCATCTGCGCCCTGGGTATGACGACAAACTGCATTCAGGCGTCCTGGGTATGACGACAAACTGCAAAAAAATCCTGGGTATGACGATAAAATTACGTCCAACAGCAAGGCCTCTGATCAGGACATTTTGAGGAGTGTGGAACCACTTCTTAATTGCTGGTGTTCCCAGGTCCACCTCGACCTGGGGTGGTAGCACCTGTTAGGGTCCCAGCTATGGGCAAATAGTTAACACCCAAACTGGTGTAAAAATAGGTTTTAATACCAGAAATGCGATTATTACCAGCAATACGTTTTTGAAAAAAAAAAAAAAAAAAAAAAAGCTAGCAGCAAAACGTTTTTGAAACAAAATATTACCATCTATACAATTTTGTGGAAAAAATAATACCAGAAATAGATTTTTGACAAAATAAAAATATTACCAGGAAAAAAAAAACATTGTTGGCATTAAATGACCCATTGAGATTGATATGCCATAAAACAAACCAAACCAAACCAAACATTCTCCCTTCAGGATTCAGGCAACTATGACTGTCCACAATTTCTTGACCTTTGCAGCTCTTAGTAAAGTTTACCTTTATGCTTTCTCTCCAAATCCCCCTTTTCTGCCAATCATTTACACAAGTTCATTCATTCATTTGTTTATTCTTTTTCTTCAATGTATCCTATCCCTTCATGACATGGCCGATCATGGCTCTCCACAATTTCCTGTCCTTTGTAACTCTTAGTAAATTTTGTCTTTTTACTGTCTTTTCTGATCCCTGTTCTGTCAACCATTTACACAAGCTCATTAGGTTGGTTATTTGCTGTTTTCTTCCATCCCTCTTGCCTTCAAGATGTCCTGTGAGTGTTAAATTTTCTAAGCTCTCTTTCCTCTTTATGTCCCCTAGAAATTTCAACTGACCTTCTGATGTTAAATGTAAGTGTCCTTTTTGTTTCCTTTTTCTCTAGAACTCTGTCGATGCTCGCATAAAACATTCAAAAGCAAAATGAAACATCTGTCTGTAAATCATCTTAGAGAATGAATACTTTTTGCCTTACATCTGCATCGTTGATGCTGGCCTCCAGGAGCGTAGTTAACTGCACCTTCTCAGTGTAACGTTTTCCACTGACATGAAATAGAACAACCATATTGAACCAAAGTTTGCTGTTCAAAGTTCCACTGTATAATGCTAGACATTTTTTAACACCAGAATTTATTTTGCACCTTTATAAGTCATTGAATATCCCATCTGGTCTGATGCTTCTGTTTTATATTTATAGGTTCTTGTCAAAATTTAAAGAATCTGCAATATTATTGGACTTGATCTGGCATTTCAGCTTCAGTCTCTTTCCCACTGCTGTGCCTTTCCCATAAAAATTTTCATGCTAATTGTTCAGATGAACTTTCCTCTATGGTACCTAGGCTTTCTGAAGTGCAGTACTAGATTGGCAGTTAGGTATCGTTATTCTACATTTGAAATGAATAGATGTAACTAAGGTCTATGTTAAAGGTTTCTTCTCTCACACTTTTCACTTGTGGAGTTCTCTTCCGGCTCTAAACTTCTGAAAATTGAAATAGCATGTCATCATACTGAAGCCTCTTTTATTATCATCTTTTCATAATGTCAATATATATAGAAACTACACAAGGACACAAAGTGAGGGATCAGTTTATATATGGGTTGTAATACAGAACTGATCCCACACTTTATATCCACATAATTTGTTTATCAAATTCTGATTAGGTATATGTCCATCTCTTCTTTCTCCCAGTTATAGGTTAAATAGTAAGACTTGAATCACTAAAATCATTATCACAACAAAAAAGAAAAATTCTCCCACTTCTTGCTTGTGGAACTCTCTTCTGGCCTCTTGGTTTCCTATCAATTATGATTTTCAAAAATTTAAATTTAATGTCCGTCATTGTTCAGACAAACTACAATCCTTAGTTCCACCACTTCTGACCTTCACGGCTAAGACGCACCATGCCACGCTCATTGTAGTGAACCAGTCTCATGCCCTTTGGATTCCATTGGTGAGATGTAAGTTCCATTTGAGCATCTTCTTCCCACAAACTGCAGGTCTGTGGAACCAACTCCCAAGAGGATGCTTCCTTGATCATTACAATCATATATTTCCATAGACTCTACCTTGAGTGGCTCTCGAGCCTTGAACAGGATGAGTTTCTGTCTCCTTGAATCCTGTCCTTTCTCCTAAATAATGTTTTCTCAGTTTTTTTCATACTTGGTATCTTTTTGTGTCTTGGTGGCTTTATTGTCTTGCTTCGGATGAAATTAAAAAAAAAAAAAATTTTAATAGCTCATTATTTTTCCTTTTATCCTTTCAGATGAAATTGATTCTCTTTTATGCGAGAGAAGAGAAGGTGAAAACGAAGCCAGTCGTCGTTTGAAAACGGAATTCCTGATTGAATTTGATGGAGTAAGTATACACACACACACACACACACACACACACACACACACACACACACATTGAATAATCTAGATATATGTCTATTTTATTTTAATCCTCTGAAATTCATGGGTCAATTTCTTAGTGCTGTTACAAAACTGATTAAGAAAGACGCCGTAGTTTTGGTTATTTCTTTTATTTTCCCAAGTACTTTCATTCTCATCCAAGATCATCTTCTGGGGTGAATTACTAAGACAAAAAAATTCACAACTATGAATTACATTAGTTTTATGACTAATTTTGTCCTGAAGAACTAAACCATCACAAGTAATCTTAAGTAATCTTTTCCCACTTTGTCATACAATTTCCCTATATATATATATATATATATATATATATATATATATATATATGGGCCACTTAGTTTTTTATACAATTCTCATGCAATCTAATTTCAGATGATAAATTATATAAAAACTGTCCGAATATTAACTATGAACATAGACACAATATCTTGACCGTGTTTTGAAAAATGAAAACACTATATAAATACATGCAACAAACTTTCTTATTTAACAGTTAAAATATTTAATCCTTGAAAATGGCTAAATGTATAGCTGAAAGCGTTCAGATAAAAAGAACAATTGGACAGTTTTATATGAAGTGTGTGTGTAGTCGATCCTTCAGGTCTACAAATCAACAATTCGCCTTTGTATGGAGTATTGCTGCCATATATGATCTGGAGCCCCTTATGTTTACCTCGGGGTTCTTGATAAGCTCCAGAGGCGGATATGCAATATAATTGTCCCTGTTCTGGCATCTCATCTACAGTCACTTTCTCACAGACGCGCCGTCGCCTCCCTCTGTCTGTTCTACAAATACCTTCATTGCAATTGCTCCGAGGAGCTGCATTTGCTGGTTCCCAGACTTCATGAGTTCAAGCGCCCTACGAGGCTGGCATCCCGCTCTCACCCTTTCACTGTCGAAACTCCTAAATGTAGCCGTCTCTTCCACTCTAATAGCTTCATGTCTCGCACCTCTCGCCTATGGAACTCCCTTCCCTTTTCCTGTTTCCCTGTGAGCTATAATCTCCAGCTATTCAAGTGTAATGTCAATCGACATCTCCAGTTGCCTTGATCTATCCACTACCCTTCTCCTCATCCTTTCTTCTATCACTCCTATCTGATCTTGCTCTAAATTTTTTGTAACCCCTTGCATCCTAGTGGCTTCCCGCCTTGCTTGGGGTGAAATGCTTAAAAAAAAAAAAAAATAATATATATATATACACTTTTGGAAGTAAAGTCTGATGATCCAGAACCCTGTTAAAGGGGTTATGATGAAATAGCTTATTACATGGAATCTTAACGTGGTCTGTCTTTTATTCAAAGAAAAATATATAGTGTATTTGAAATCTTGCTGTTTAAGAGTTTTTATCTTTTTTTTTTAAGCTGAATAAAAATCTTTGAAAATAAGTACTTTCTTTATAACATGACCTCCTTTTTGCCTTTTAATTTTAGTTCAAAATTTCTCATATGATACACCAAAAATATGGTAACTGAAAGCCTTAATGTTGATTTGTGAAGAGTTAGATTTCGTTCATTTCTTACAGCTCAGCGGAAGTTCTGATGACAGGATCTTAATCATGGGAGCAACAAATCGGCCACAAGAACTCGACGATGCTGTGCTGCGGTAAGTCATAATCACACAGTTCATTGGCAAGCCAAGGAATTATTTTCATCTAACAGCCTGAATATTCTAGAAATCTTATTAAAGAAAAACTTAATGAAAATAATGTAGAAAAATTTGTGTTTTCTAGTAAGAGTTGAATCTTCCTCCATTTTATTGAGTTACAAATGACCAATCAGTCAGGGTAAAGCTCGTACTTTTTGTATCTATGACGAGGGAAGTTTCGCTTGAAGGTACAAATTGGACTTTGCATGACTAATGGGTTCTTTGTAGTTCAGTTAGTGTATCAGATTTCAATAGCTCCCCCTGTGCAGAGGGACACAGGTTCAAATCCTGCTAGTGAGTATAAATTTTTATTTGATAAGCTTTCTTGAATATTCAGGCCAGTAGATAAAAATAAATATATGCTTTAATAAATAAAGTGTTTACTCAGATATAAGTATTCACAAAAATAATGTTTAAAGTGATATATATACGCACACACAGGTTGAGTATCCTTTTTCCCAAAATCCAAAAGTTTTTCAGGTGCTGACATGACTTGCCACAAATGGAAAATTTCAGAAAGCACTGGGAAAATTCTTAGGTAATATGCATCTGTCATAAGTGATATTATCTGCTCTGAGTGAGGGTTCCCCTGCCTACCTACGTCTCCTACACTGGTGGCGTGTTTTTTTTTTTTTTTTTTTTTTTTTTTAGTGATCGTCAAAGTGACACCTTTTGTTGGTAGATTACTTACCAGCGGTTTGTGGTCAGGAATGATGATATTATTCAAAATGTTAAAGTCCTGCAGATACCTATATAGGTAGTGAAAAAAAAAAAAATAAGAAAAAAGCAATTATATTTATCAATATCACAAAGTCAAACTGTTTGAAATACTAGGCCAGAGTGTGAAGCATCTAACTGAAGCCACCATATACAACCTGAGGAAACAACAAAATGAGAAATTGTTAATGTTTTATTCTTAAAGTGATGAACAAAAAATTAATGAAAAATAGAAAAACACTGGAAAGAGCAAAAAAATGATTTCAATCGGGTATTGATGGAGTGGATTTGTCAGTGTTGGAGTGAACGTATGCCACTTATATAAAACTACCTTCAAGGTATACAGGGTGCAATGGATAAATTGTTGTCTAAATGACACCAAAATGAAAATAACACTGACATCTCATTTTAACAGATATATTTACCAAAATGACACAAAAATATCTTGAAATACTAAAGAGTAAATTTATTCAATAAAATCGCCATTGGCTTCAACCACGGCCTCCAGACGACTTAGAAATCTCCTGCAACTCTTCTGGACAGTCTCCTTGGTGAATGCCATCATAATCTTTGCCTTCAGTTCATCTTTGGTGTTACATGGAGTTTTGTTGGTCTCTTGATCAGCTGCACCCCACACCTAATAATCAAGGGGGTTGCAGTCTGGGGAGTTAGGTAGCCAAATTTAAGGGGTGATGATGTGGTTGTAGAAATTGTCTGTCAGCCATGACTGGGTTCTCCTGCTTGTGTGGCATGGTGCATATTTCTTTTCCAGACATAGGGTCTTTCAGTAACCATCTTCTTGACTCTGGGTAGCACTATCTCCTCAAGGCACTTGATGTCGTCCTCCATATTGAGTCTGAGGCCCTGTGGGAAGATTAATGGAGGCATAATGTTCCCATCACTAGTGATCACTCCAAATACCATGATGTTTATTGGATATATCATTCAACTCTTTCCAAATCCTCTGTATTGTCCTCAGATTGACACCCAAACACTCTGAAATGTTTATATTAGAGCTTCTAGTGCAAATGCCAAGCAGTACAGCATGTCGTTTTCAAATTTCTGGTGGTGTGAATTGTGTTATGGTACTCTTTTTCTCGCAGATGGTGCCCAACTGTTGATAAAATCAAAACAAACAACATGCAGACACAAAATGAAAAATGTTAAACGGAGACAATTTTACGCATTGCACCTGTATGTATAAGCTCTGTTAGGAAATGTAAAAAGATAACATGCTTATTCTTGCGTTCCATTCCTGAGCTGCCCCATTTTAGAGATGCTGTATACAAATGAAATAGCTTGTATTCTAAAATCCCCAAAAATCTGTAAACCAAAGCATTTTCCGTCCCAAAAATTTTGGATAAAGGATTTTCAATCTGTATATAAATTTTTCACCTACATAGTTTACTAATGTCATCAAAAATGATGGCTGAATTTACATCTATAGTATTATTAAGTTGTCATTTTATATTATTAATTTGTGTGTGTGTGGGGGGGTCAGTTTATTACTTATTAACAATCGAAATCGATCCCCCACTTTATGGCTAAACTTTTGAAGTCCTTACTATTATTAGGTTTTCATATGTGAATCTTTAAAAATATTTTCCCAATTAGGATAAACAGATCCCCCATTTTATGGGCAATCTTGAAATTATGGCCAACATAATTTTCTCAAAGTATTATTATGTACTTAGTCTGGGGTGAGCAGTTGAAAATCGTTCCCACATTTTGCGTCCTGTTAAATACTCGTTTAGTCATTCCATAAAAAATGATGAGTTATTTTTTAAGTTTTCTTTTTTTCTATTACGAGAAATTAACTGTGAAAAAACGAGAAATAATTAAGTAATTCTTGGGGGATCAATTTACTACTTAATAGCTATAGAAAACCGATCCCCCACTTTATGCCCAGTAGACTCTTGTATTGATACTAATTTACCTTAGCTGTGAAAAATGAGAATTAATTCTTGGGGGATCAGTTTATTACTTAATAACAATAGAAAATCGATCCTCCGTTTTATGACCAGTAGAATCTTGTATTTACTAGTTTACCTTAGCTGTGAAAAATGAGATTTCTTGGGGGATCAGTTTATTACTTAATAACAATAGAAAATCGATCCCTCACTTTGACCAGTAGAATCTTGTATTAATACTAGTTTATCGTGAATGTGGAAAATGAGCAGTAATTAAGTAATTCTTGGGGGATCAATTTATTGCTTAATAGTTATAGAAAACCGATCAATAATCAATCAATCCATCACCCAATAAACTCGTCTTTATCTTCATGCATTCAATCTTCTTTTGCAGACGGTTTGCAAAACGAGTGTATGTAACGATGCCTGAAAATCATACACGCAGGCAAATGCTGGTACATTTGCTAGCGAAACATGGTAACCCTTTGACGAATAAAGAAATGGAGGGCCTTGCCAGGTAAGATGTCTTTTTATTATTCTCAAAATGACTGCAGAATCCAACCAGACATCAAAGAATAGTAAACTGGTTATAGAAAAGTAAGAAAAGAGGAATTGGTACTAGTTTAACTCTGACTCGTCCACCCTCATTAATTCTATTGTCCGCAGCTCCATACTAAAAAAGGAAAATCCACCTATGTGCTATAGGTGTAATGAATGATATATTGTGGAACACATATTTATAAAATGTACACTTATAAAATGTACAATTTCTTACACGTCCTTAGAAGATAACTAGATTAATTCCTTATCCTTTTAAGCCCACTTAGTTATCGGAGGAAATTTGTCTCTAGTTCATCATTGAGTCAACTTAAGTGTCAGTGTTTTTAGGAATTCTGTCTCAAGCTGTTTTTGAAATGGCAAACGTACAATGTTGTTAATGATTTCAGATAATCATAAAAGTAGTCCTTTAAATAAGCTGACCACCCAAAAAGCCAAATGGGTGGTCTCTTGTTCCAGTACACAAAGGGACAGATAGGGGTTGTGGGACCCCAGCTATTATTCATATAAGCAAAGAGGGGCAGGAAGTCGAGGAGAAAGAGGTCCAATGCTCAGAAGTAGGTAGGTGACAAGTGAATGAGCAGGAAGGGAACGGCGGAAGTTAGGGAGGTAGTAGTTCAGCCGAAGAAAGACATAGCAGGTTGAGTGGGAATTTGTACTGTTTCTATTTTCCAAACAGTGAGTCTTGAAAAGCAATTGTTGTTATTCTTTGTGAATATGATCAAGTGGACAAACCTGTGTATATTGTATATGCAGACACGGCTGATCTTGGATGTCATCACGGGGACAGGGAATGATGGATGAGTGGAGCACGTCGCTACAAGGCAAACAATATGAATGAACTCTTCAACAGGATTGATCCAAATAGATAATTAAATTTCTTAAGAAAACCAAGATATATTCAAAAATTTAATAATTTATATTGACGAAATAAAATAATCTAAATCTGAACTTCATACAAAAGCTTTAAATGGCACTGGCAAATTTACAAGGATACGACCATTTTCCCAAAATATTAGATCATCATAATTTGACCTTAGTCGGGGTCATCATGCTAATGCGAACATTCCTTACTTTAGCTGCATAGTATGTGCTTCGCCAGAGATACATACAGTTTTGAATTCAGAGTTTTCCTTCTCTTAGACCAGTTGCCATCCAAGGCTATAGAACCCAGTCTGATAAGGAGTTGACCAGAGTTGCGATCATTGAGTCAATGCAACCTCTCCTTTACTTTAGCTGCATAGTATGTGCTTCACCAGGGATACATACAGTTTTTTGAATTCAGAGTTTTTCTTTTCCTAGACCAATTGCCACCCAAATCTATAGAACCCAGTCTGTCCTGCTATTTACCCATAGCTGGAGGGGAGAAGAAGAAGGACTCGTATCTTTCTCAAGGATATTAGCATGTAAGTGAATGTAATAGATCCAACTGGAATTCAAACTCTGCTCTCTGATTCCTCAATCAGAACCGCTATCCATTACTCTGCTGTACCTCCTTATTTTTCCAATGTATGAGGACCAAGCAATTCAGTTCTCTCCGACTGGGTTTTATAGCCTTGGATGGCAACTGGTCTAGGAGTGGTGGGGACCTTGTGGAGGAAGAAGAGGATTCATACCTTATATGTCTTATTTGGCATAAAATGACTGAGTGAAGGTCGATCTGGCATGAAATGGCCGAGTGAAGGTTGATCTGCTTTTAAACCCAACAATCAATCAATCAAAATAATAAATCTTTTCATGATTTTCTTTTTTTTTTTCTTTTTTTAACATTAGTGTGCATCCTGTACAAGACCCAAGAGCCACTTGAGGTAGAGGTTTGCAGAGTAAGAGACATAGTTTATGCAGATAAGTGTGGAAGATATTAGTTAACCCTAGACTTGAACAGGTTAAGATTGTAGTGATCGTGAAAGCATCCACTTGGGAGTTGGTTCTACAATACAAGGGTTCATGGGAAGAAGGTGCTTGAGTAGAACTTACATCTCACCCATGGAATGGAATGAGGTTCACTTTCTTCTAGGCTCGGGAGCCACTCGAGATAGAGGGTTGTAGAGTAAAAGGCACTGTTTATGTGGATATGTGTGGGAGATAATGATTAACCCCAGACTTGAAGAGGTTAAGATTGTAGTGATTGCGGATGCATCCTCTTGGGAGTCAGTTCCACAATACAAAGGTTTGTGGTAAGAAGCTATATGAGTGGGACTTACATCTCACCCATGAAATGGAATGAGGTTAACCCTGTACAAAAGAAAACTCATCTGTGATGTGAACACTCCTAGAATTATAGGAATGTTTTATTTTCCAAACAGCACAATTTTACTAGTTAATGCCCTCTTTGATATAGGTGTTCCAAAAAATGTCCTCACGATGGCGCACAAGAATTCATCCTCTTGTCTGCTTTTCTTTAAAGAACTTAACAATGTGAAACAAATGCTAGTCAATAATGGTTTTCTCAATCACCTCATAGATCACCCTATTAGACTTTTCCTTTCTAAGGTAACACTGAACATACAGCTAAAAACAATAACATTAAAATTTTCTACAAATATCAAAGGCATGGTAACTATAAGCAGGATGAACGTTCCCTTAGAAACATTATAAAGATATATACAACTCCACTCGACAAAAACCAGAAAATTAAATTAGCTACTATAAAATATTTAAAACTGCAAACCTCATCATCAACAACAATAATTCACTTGCAAGACCCAAATTAGAGAGAACCAATTTTATTTATAAATTCATATGTCCTTTAAGGAGCTGTGTTCCTTATCAATCTAAATTAATGAATAATAGAATATACTACAATATACCTAACAAGAAGACTCACATTACATCTCTCTGACCATAGTTCAATTAGGTCTCATTTAAATATACCAACCTCCATATGCAACATACTTGTTGATAATATAAATATAATAGCATCATCCACATGTTTAAAAAAAAAAAAATTAAAAATAATGCAAACATCTATATAATAAATGCAAATGTCAGTGTGCCACACTTTTTCAACTTTACTCCTAGAGGCCGTAGCACCATATATCATACCATTTTGGAATCAGGCTGACTTTGTGAGCAAATTAAAAACATTCTGGGCCAGATACAGACCGACAATCCTGAAATATTGTATTCATTACTGCAATTGTTTTCAGTGATTTTTTTTTTTTTTTTTTTTTTTTTTTTAATGATAACAATTTTCATAACTTTGGAATAATCAAAATTAATTGCAAAATCCAGCGAAAGTCACCCATGGGGGAAAAAAAATTGTAAGGAAAGGACTTACATACATCAAATTGTCTTTAAATTAAAGGCAGCAGAAGAATTATTATTGAACTTTTAAAAGGTAAGCTTAAATGTTAATGCAATACTTAAATGCATCAATCAACTTTGAGTTCTTCTTTAGTTTATTGTTGCCTATCGCATCTACTCCTCGCTACCTATTGTGATGAAGGATGAATCAAGAACCTCCCACAGGAGCTAACTTAAAGTTTTTAAGCTAATCATTAATAAAAAAGTAAAAGCAACAGTCAATAACATCAACTATTAATATGACCACAAAGATTCCTAAAACACTCTTGTAACAAATAGTTTTGTCTTTCATTTAGTAGAACTGATGAAATCAAATAAGAATGTAAGTGAAGTTTTTCTCTGTCTTTGATAAAAAATTTTTGACTTTCTTATAATTTTCACCTAATATTGTACGTTTCATACAGTAGAGTTTATTTTATGATGTGTTTAAGAGGTGCTTCTCTTATTTCTAGACTGACTGAAGGATATTCGGGGAGTGATCTGACAGCTTTGGCCAAAGATGCGGCCTTAGGACCAATACGCGGTAAGTACAGTAAATTGTATTCTCTAAGTACATTTGGGATTTAGGATACCCACATAAAGTGGAAAGGAGGTACTTTATTTTGCTCTCAAATGTTTCTGTTTTCTATCAGATATGTTTTTTTAACATCCACATTGACCAAAGGGGAACAGAACAGTACAGGAGTAGATGGGGGGCTTCTGGATATTAAGCCACAGCAAGCTGGATATTGATTATTTCCGATTACTGGTCTATATTAACAGTCTTGCTTGGGATTGAGGGTGCCATTTCTTGTTGTGAAACAGAATCGTCGGTCACGTAGTTTGTATTGCCAGCCAGCTACACGTCATAGATGAGGTGAGCTGTTAAACCAACAACAGAAGTTGACCAAAGTGTCACCTACTTACTCACCAAAACAAGCAAGTGAAGCCCCAAATAAATAACCAATTTGATTATATGGCTAACAGGGTTTTTCTCATTTTTTGACGTGGTGTTGTTTTTCATCTTTGTTACCTCGCAAACATGCAGTGGACCTTTCCCAGTTTTTAATGCACACAGACATGAATAAGAATAGAAAATTCAATGTCGGCTCATCATAGGTTGGTTGATTGGAGGAAATCTTGAGCAAGGGTTTTGTATGTTTAGAGTTTCCTTTCGTTTTATTTGAAACTATTTGATGCTATTTGAATCCCAAGTCCTGGAGGGGTTCATCCACCATGTAAACATATTTGTATTTTTAATCTAGTTTTTGTTTTTTTTTTCTTTTTTTAGAACTTTCCCCTGCTGAAGTAAAATGTCTGGATGCCAGCAAGGTGAGAATTTTTTTTTATTTAATTGTTTAGTTTGCTTAACTTTTTAAGTTTTAGTTTGCTTAACTTTTTAAGTTTTAGTTTGCTTAACTTTTTAAGTTTTAGTTTGCTTAACTTTTTAAGTTTTAGTTTGCTTAACTTTTTAAGTTTTAGTTTGCTTAACTTTTTAAGTTTTAGTTTGCTTAATTTTTTAAGTTTAATATCTGACGAAAAGACCAGCATGACATGACCCTTGTATAGAAATATATACATATCCCAATATCCCCATCCTGCAACATAGTCTGGCAAGGGTATACCATGCACATGCATCACAGCCAAATGTACACAAAATATGATGACCGGTTTTAATAAAAGCAGCACATCACCTTACAGGTAGAGCCCTGTTATGAATACCTTCAGATCGTGTAACCCAGTCCATTCAGTAACTACTCTCTGATTGGTGAGGGTGTTTTCAAGTATATTTAGACATGACCACCAAGTTGCCTTGTCTGCTTTCTCTTTCAAATCTAAAAAATTCAACCCTCTTAAAACTTCCAGTTTTGATTGTCCTCTCTCTCTCTCCTTGTTAGAAATTTTTCTCATATTTTCTAACACACTGTAACCACTTGTGTCTTAGTGGCTTTATTGCCTTGCTTGGGGTGAAATGAATTAAAAAATGCATTGCTATATTTCAAACTGATTTCAGATTTTGTCTATATCTCTGAGATGAAGTATTATGATTACTTACATTATTTACATTATATTATCCTCATCTTTATTGCCATATTCACAACGTTTCGGTCGTCGTACGCTCCGGCCTTCAAGAGCACCTGGCTCAGTGGATAAAGATGTTGGTTAGATCCAGTGATTAAATTTGGCTTGAGTTAGAGCTTTCAGACACATGGACAGACAGAATTTGCCATTTATTTAAGATTTAGCATCAAGTCAAGTGACCATAGCCCCTTCTTTCAAGTGGTTTATTAAAAAAAAATTCTAATACCGTGTCATGAATTGTATAAATACAGGTTGTGTTATGCATATTTAAATTTATTTAAATGTTTTTTTTTTTTAATATGAAATAGACAACTTGTATTATTTACATTATTTGGACTGATATCCTCATCTTCATTGTCATATTCACAACGTTTCGGTCGTTGTACACCCCGGCCTTCTTCAGGTGATTGGAATTTTGAACCAAACCTTTTATTTCATCCACTGCAGTAGATTGTTCTAGTTCTACATGTCATGCCTCTTCTTGATATCAGTTATTTCCCTTTAACTCAATTCCACAAGTTTTTGGTTCACCACTACTGTGGCTTAGTATTGTCACATGGCTCACATGGATAAAGACATTGGTTAGATCCAGTGACTAGTTCCAAAGAATTGTGAGTTCAATACCAGGCCACAGCAGTTGTGAACCAAAACTTAGAGAGTTGAGTTATGGAGAGAAAAGGGAGATCACCACCTTCTGTGGGATCAGGTTGAGATCATAGGCAAAAAACATCATTGGAAAATTCGTAAACTTAAGGAATCAGCACATATGTTAGGCCACAAAAATCTCCTGAGCTGACCAAGCATAGAAATGAATACAGTATGGCAACCAGTAATAAGGGGTGCCAGAGAAAAGCATTAACAACAAAAAAAATTGCAATATGAGCACTGGAAAAAAAATTGTTGCTGAGACATTACGTTTATAATACCCAGAAATTCATATACAGATGTCTTCAAGAACACATGGCACAGTGGATAAAGGCGTTGGTTATATCCAGTGACAGGACCTAAAGAGTGTGAGTTCAATACCTGGTTAAGGCAGTGGAGAACTTGGCACATGGAACTAGAACAGTCTGTCCCAGTGAGCGAAATAAAGGGTTCAGTTTGACATTCCAACCGAAACATAATAACTATAGCGGCAAAGATGAGGACAATCGTCCAAATAGTGTAAATTCTGATCTTATTATTGTATAATGTCAATGTAATGTAAATAGTGTAAATTCTGATTTTATTCCCTCTCGCTATGGGTTAGTAAGACTTGCAACCCTTATCTTGAAAAAAAAAATTCTTACAGTCTGAAAATATTTTCTTGCTTTAAATAACCTGCAAATGATCAACCATGAAAAATGGATCAATAAAAAAAATCCTTACCAATTCCATAATTGGGTGTGGACATAGTATCTTTTCCTTCACATGTTTTTTCAGTCCAAGGCCGAAGATTGTTCATATTTTCTTTTGGGAGCTTAGTTAATATTTGCTTCAGGTCAATTTTAGGCTGTTTTGTCATTTGGCTGTTTCTTCGACTGAACTAATTTTTCTATTTTTTTTTTCTTTTTCTTTTTTTTTCTTTTTTTCTTTTGTCTTTTTTTTCTTTTGTCTTTTTTTTTTTTTTTTTTTTTTGTCTTTTTTTCTTCTTTTTTTTTTTTTTTTTTTTTTTCTTTTTTCTTTTTTTTTTTTTTTTTTTTTTTTTTTTTTTTTTCTTTTTCTTTTTTTTTTTTTTTTTTTTTTTGTTTTTTTTTTTTTTTCTTTTGTCTTTTTTTCTTTTTTTTTTTTTTTTTGTCTTTTTTTTTCTTTTTGTTTTTTTTTTTCTTTTGTCTTTTTTTTTTTTTTTTTTTTTTCTTTTTTTTTTGTCTTTTTTTTTTTTCTTTGTCTTTTTTTTGTCTTTTTTTTTTTTTTTTTTTTTTTTTTTTTCTTTTGTCTTTTTTTCTTTTTTTTTTTCTTTTGTCTTTTTTTTTTCTTTTGTCTTTTTTTTTTTTTTTTTTTTTTTTTTTTTTCTTTTGTCTTTTTTTTTTTTTTTTTTTTTTTTTCTTTTTTTTTTTTTTTTTTTTTTTTTTTTTTTCTTTTTTTTTCTTTTGTCTTTTTTTTTCTTTTGTCTTTTTTTTTTTTTTTTTTTTTTTTTTTTTTCTTTTTTTTTCTTTTGTCTTTTTTTTTTTTTTTTTTTCTTTTGTCTTTTTTTTTCTTTTTTTTTTTTTCTCTTTACCAAATCCAAGGAGGATTGAACTCCAAACTCTCACTATACCAAATGTTTTTAACCAATGCCTTAAAACATGAGTCCAGGTATTGCCTTTGTTGGCTTGCCCCTTTGTTTCCCTGCTTCTTGCATGTTTTCCCCTTTGCCTCGCCACCGCTCTCCCTCCCCTTTGTTTAATGCACTCTCTTCTTTTTACCCTCTCTCCTACCTTGTGCATCTCTCCCCTTTCATTACCTCCCTCTCAAATCATTCCCTCTCTCCCAACCACCCATGTACAGATTTTTTTTTTTTTTTTTTTTTCTTTTTACCCACAGGTCCGTTGCATTCAGATGATTGACTTTTTAGAATCATTGAAGAAAATCCGCAGGAGTGTCCCGATTGAAAGTCTTGAGAAATACGAAAAGTGGAATCAAGAATATGGCGATATAACAACATAGCCCATGTTTTGTATTTGATTGGGTGCAGGAGATATTTTTTTTTTTTTCTCTTTCTCCCTCTCAATACATTTGACTTAAAACTCCTGACCACGACACACAACCTGCTGTGTTCGAAATGGTGTATAGGACAAATTTTTCATTTTCTGTTTGACCAAACTCAGGACACTGCCTACTCAGCCAGACATCTGGACACTGCATTGTCATCCTCAACTGACGAGTTGAAGAATCTTTTCCAAATTCTGTCATCCAGAAGGGTGGGGTCATTCAAACCCGGGGTCCAGTTTTGTTTATTTCTTTTACTCAGTTGAGTCAAAGTTTAACCCTTTCTTGTTTTATTTCTTTGTGTGTTTACACAGTGTAAAGACGTTTTCTTTCTTTACACAAAAACTAAATTTAAGTGTACATGAAAGTTATAGAAGGGGAATTCATTTTTTGGTTTCTTTTTTGTTTCAGTTTAAACAACCCGTTTTCATTTATGCGTGTACAGTGTGCAAAACCTTTGTTAATTTTAAAAATTTTTTTTTATCAGAATTAAAGATCAAATTTGTTTATATATGTCCGCCTGGGACCAATATCTTAAACTTGCTTCAGTTGGCATTGACATTGAAATGGTAGGCATTGTCACGATCTTCGTATTATTGAGGTTAGAGAATTGCTTCAAATCGTTTATGCTTCGCCTATGAAACAAAATTGGCTGCCTGACCTCGAAGCAGTGAAAGAGCAAATTCCTCTCCTGGTGCTCCGCATTCGTGGCCCTGTGCCACACGGCGCTAACTTTAGAAAGATAATGCCTCGCCTAGGCTGAATTGGGTGGTATGGAGTTTTGAGTCTTTCTTTTAAACATTTGATCCTCCTCTTGAGAGGATGAGGGATTTTCTTTGTCCCCTCGTAGGTTGGGCGTTTATATAACTACCTGTTATTGTGTGTGCATGTATGCAAGGTTCGGCTCGGTTTATGCTGATACAGCCACTGACATCTTTTGAGGCCCGATTCTGCACTTGGTGGCTTTGAGATAATCTCGATCAACCCATAGGGCTCCTAAGACTTTTGACATACTGTTGTGACACTGAGTACAAAGCTTACATTGGTATCACTTAGGTTGAACACAGTATATATTGGGGTCACTACAGATCAGTTCTTTTTAGATTAAAGGTTCCTGATGAACAGTGGATTTGATTCAAACTTCTGGTATTTCCTGGATTACATACTAAAATTATGAGCGCTCCACACTCATAACCTTGTGCCACACTAATTTTAGTAAGATAATGGCTCATATCACTAGATATTCATAGTTACTTAAATGGATTGGATATCTGCTGTACACACGATACTTGTTCTTTCATTCCATGCTAAGCTTGTCTTCGTAAATATCAGCTATGAACTCAAAGTAGATCATGAAAAAGTGTTCAATAAATTACGTCAAAGAGAATCGTTCAAACTACTAGGTAAGCTTGATTTATTTGGGAAGGATATTAGAATAATTCAGAATTAGAAAGGGCGTACAACAAGAATGTCTTCTTGCTAGACTTCAACCTTTACAGTGAAGCAAGAATTTATTATTGGCAGCCACAATTTTAACATTCGATATACAGATGACCTAGTGTTGATGGCCAACATAGAAAGGAATCTACAGGAACTCTTACAGAAGGTAATGAAGGAAAGCAAGAAGAAAGGACTAAGCATCAGAAGACAATGCATGGTTGTTAGTAAAAGGAGCAGCCCAACACGCAAGTTAGTCACCAAAATCAAGGAAGTACAACTTGAATATCTGGGAAGTGTTTTAACAGAGGATGGAAAATGTGACACTGAAATCTGAAGGCACATTGAGATAGTGAAAGATGCCTTCCAAAAGCTAAGCAGAGTATTAAGAAACAGGAAATTTTTTGTTAGAAACAAAGAAAAGAGTACTGAACTGTTATGTAATGTTAGTCTGCCTCTATGGCAGTGAGTGGTGGGCAATCTCCTCACACATGAAGAAGAGACTTGAGGCAAGAGAAATCTAGTTTTATAGAAGGATGCTGAGAATACCATGGACTGAACATGTGAGCAACGACGAAGTTTTAGAAAAAGAAATAAAAAGATACTTAGAATTAGAAAGCGACTGTTCAAACTTCTAGGGCACATAATGAGGAAAGAAGCCTTAGAAAATTTGACCCTCACAGGACAGATTGACAAAGGAACACAGAATATAACTTATGCTTGTGTAAAAGGTTGACCGAATAGGGATTAGGGGAGATAGTAAAAAGACAAACTTTACTAAGAACTACAAAGGACAGGAAGTTGTAGAGAGCCATGATCGTTCACGTCCTTGATTTTTATGATCATCAATTTGGTATATTTCTGTATATTATCTCATGATGTTTGAACGTAGCTGATGATAACTTCGTAAAGCTGCCCGGGTTTGGCGCAAGGTGCCTTGAGGGCTTGTGTGTATTGTATCAGCAGAAAGAGGAATGGATATTTGTTTACTGAATTTTAAATAAAGTCCAGTTTATTCGCAGTCATCTTGTACACGCATAATATGGACGGATGTTTGTCCTTATAACGTGTATGCATATCAGAATGTTCGTGTTTAACTGATTTGAATTTTGCTTGTATTGAAGTAAAAAAAAACAAACAAAAAAAAAAAACAAGATGACCAAATTTGGCTTACAGTCCATCGTACTTGTAATTCTGTAGACGAAATATTTCCCCCTTGACAGACATTGTATCGTTTTGTATTTTCATACATTCGGATACATCTTTCTCAATTTCGCATTCCATGAATCCAGCTAAATCTTTGTACAAAATGCAATGCTATGCTGTTTGAAGTCATTTCAATGACTTAATTGGTGAAATTTTATTTTATTTTTAATCACTTTCTTGAGGAGTGGTAAACACAGGCTGCATTTAAGTCCACTGAGTCATGAATTTTAAATCCAGTTTCTCTTGTAAATATTTGCAAATTACATTTGATCTCATTTGTTGGCTCAAAAAGAAAATTCTTTTGTTTTTTTCCTTTTACTGGTTTTTGGTTCTGGCTTTTAAAAATATTCATACGAAAAATTAATTAAAAAAAAAAATTTATGCCCTGGGTTCAATACACTTAAGTCATTGATTACCAAACTGTTCCATGAGATGCAGTAACATATGCTGCTGAAAAATATACAAAGTTAAAAAAATAAAAACAATATTGCAAATATGGATAAACATGCTGACGATATAACATAGTATCAAAAGGACAGTTTTTCCTTTGACTCCGCTATTATTTTAACTACCTTCACTCCTCGGCAATGTTTATTGTTTTAAAAAGTGATTAGAATTAGAATAAAACTTAAGCATGTGATGAAAGTGAATTTATACATATTTTTTTTTTTTGTCTTGAGAATTTAAAACAAAAATATTAAATATTTATTAGATTGTTTCTCAAGATTAATTTTATATTTACGGCATTCTAAAAAATTAATACAATTAAAACTAATGCAATGCAATATTTATCATTTACCAATTTATAAAGAAATATGAAAACAATTTTTAATTCATAAATTTATAAACATTTATTAAATTATTAAAATATGTGAATCAAATGGTAAATAATAAGGATTTCTTTAGAGTTTGAATCACTTGGAATTAGCCGATGTTTTGTTAACTATTCCAATAAACATTAGTGTTCATTATTTTTTTTGTCAATTCTCAAGAACATAGAAACATTCACTTTCATATGTTTGGGTTTTATTAAAATTCTAATCAACGCTTTTCAAAATGATAAACATTGCCAAGGAGTGAAGGTAATTAAAATAATAGCGGTGTCAAAGGAATAACTATCCTTTTGACACTTTTTGCAGACATGTTTGTTTATGTTTGCCAAACATTATTTGAAATTAAGTCAAGAATAAAAATTTGAATCATGATCAGATATGGTAATTTAAAAAGAATTTGTGTAGTAACTAGCCATTTTCATCCAGTTTTCTGCTTAATATTGATGTCAAATTATTTTTTTCTTTTTAATTTCACCCCAAGCAAGGCAGTAAAGCCGCTAAGACACAAGGGGTTACTGAGTGAAAAATAAGAAAAAAAGAGAAATCTTATTAAGGAGTGAGAACAGTAGAAAAGTAATGAAGAAAATATTAGATAACGATCGAAATTGCATTTAAATTTGTTTTTCTAATCATTTCACCCCATGCAAGGCAGTAAAGCCACTAAGACACAAAGGGTTACTAAGAGTGAAAAAATAAAAAAAGAGAAACATTATTAAGGAACAAGAACAATCGAAGAGGATGAACCAAGAACATAATGACTGATATTTAATTTAACTTTTGAAGATTAAAGTTGGCTGGAGAGTTCCACAAGCGAGAAGTGTGATAGAAGAAACTGTTAGCATAGAACTTACGGTTGCATCTAGCTAGCTTAACTGTAAATTGTAAATTACAACAAAAGTATTTATAGAAAAGGTGCAGTCAAGCTACATTATGGCAGTGGGAAAGTGACTGAAGCTGAGATGCTATATCAGGACCAATAATATTGCAGATTCTTTGGATTTTATCAAGAATCTCTAAATATATAGGAATATACAGGAATGATGATGATGACTCTTCATCCCAGAAAGTTGGACAGGAATTGTAATTTATTTAACCAAAAATATTGCTAATCTTCTGTAGTTTAAATTATTTTATATCCAAAGGGCATGGCAATTTTGTTCCTCAAGTGTAGCCCAAGCAAACAGCCACATGTTGAGATGCTAGTTCCCGAAGTTAAGTAATGTCAAGCTTGGTCAGTACCTAGATGGGTGACCGTTCGGGAATACCAGGTGCTGTAAGTTTAAATGTGCAGGTGGTGTAATGGATAATGGCTCAAAATTGTTAATCAGAGAGTGCACTTCCAATTCCCACTGGGTTCGTCCTATTTACTTACACACAAGACACCCTTGTGAAAGGTATTAATATACCTCGTCTACTCCAGTTATGGGTTAATTAATAAAACTTGTATCACTAAATCATTATTTTCTCCAAAAATAGTTTCTG